GAGCTGAGGCAGGGGCTGGGGCAAAAACTGCCCAGCTGGGGTGGGGGGGTGTTACGGGAAGGTAGGGGAGCAGCTCCCATTGCTGTGTGCTGCCGGTCTGGGAGTAGGTCGTCCACTGGCTCTTGCCATTGCACCCATTCTGGTCCTGGAGAGCATGGGGGGGAATGTGCCCCTGGATCTGCGTGGGACAGGTGGGGCTAGCGCTGAGGCTGTGCTGGGCTGCACTTCAGGTGGGCAGTGGAAGGTGCTGGGAGTGGGGGCTATGCCCTCCTGCTGCTTGCCCAGCCGGAGCAGGGCCGAGCTGCTGCATTGCCTCCAGAAAAGTGGCACACAGCAGTGGGAGCTGCCTTGGCCTCCCCACACCTCCCAGATGATCAGCGGCTTAGTCCCAGGCCACCCCCCTGGGGGTACATGACTCCCCCATGCCCTGCCAGTTGTGTAAGTGGCCGCAGGGCATAGGGGGGCATATGCCCCTGAATTGGGGCAGGGTGGGTGGTGGAGTGGGGGCTACAGGAGGGGCTGCAGCCACTCTAAAATTCACTGTAGCCCCCATAGCCCTCACTGCCTGCTCAGAGTGCAGCCCTGGCCCCACCTATCCCACCCCAGTCTGGAGGCACATGCCCCTCCAGGCCCTGCCACTACTTCCCCAGTCAGGGCGGGGGGGGGCATGGGATGAAGTCGCTGCTTGTCTGGGAGGCATGGGGAGGCTGCGGTGGCTCCCGCTGCTATGTGCCACTTGGCCAGAAGCAGTGCAGCAGCTCCGCCCCGGCTGGATGAGCAGCAGGAGGGCATAGCCCCGCTCCCAGCACCTTCCGCTGCCAACCCGAGCACAGCCCAGTTCATCCACACCCACGCCTGTCCTGTACAGATCCAGGGGCACATTCTCACCCCATGCCCTCCTGGACTGGCGGTGGGAGCAGAGGTGATGGCAGTCAGATGAGCTGCTCCTGGACCGGCAGTACGCAGCAGCAGGAGCTACCCCATCCCCTCCCTGAGCCCCTCTGCCCTGGCTGGGCAGGTTTTGCCCAGCCCCTGTCCCAGCCCCAATCCCTCCCTCGCTGTGGGGGCATTGATCTGCGTCCCCATGCCTCTCCCCTCACCTCCCCTCTCCCCCCACCACAAGGAGCTTACCAGCTGCAGGCAGCTGTGTTGAGTGTCATAATGTTGAAACCAGCATTGGAACCTCGAAACAGGGCGTAAATTTATAAAGGTCATAAGTGCCGTTTGTTGGAACTTGAAATGTTGTTAGTCGAGGACTGCCGGTAATTCTTATTACATGGTAAATAACTAAGGGCTAAATCTACAGAGGGATTTGGGCATCACAATGTTCAACACTGTGTGCAACCTTTCTTTTAAGTCCCTGGCATATAGTGGAATTATATAGAGGAGTGTACTACTGCCATTCCCTCTCTCTTCCTCTTCCCACCTCCTGCTCTCCCACCTCACTGAATTCAGCAACAGAGGAAAAGAGGTGATGAGTGGTGACTGTGATGTCCACCCACTGGACTCCAGAATCCCACCAAAGCCTATGCCAATCAGCTGGTGACCTCAGAGAGCTTACAGCACATGTGCAGCTCTTACTATAGCAAAAAGGAGAATTTCAGGTTAAATTAATTGTAAAATTCTTAGTCTCATTTTCAAAAGAGATCAGCACCTATACTCAGGGTCAGATTTCCAGGTCTATTTAGGTACTAAAGTAAGTAAGGTAATGAGCTTTTTTTCCTTTAAATCTTTTTATTCATATAAAAACCCAGCCTATCAGAGGCAAAAGCTTAACTTGTTAGAACACTTTGACTTTGGAGGGTGTCATCTGCATTATTTAGGTAGGAAAATTGGTTGAGAAAAAATAATCTTGTTGAAGAACTCTTCATCCCAGAATGCAATATAAAGCCTGTCAAGCAATGTAATATTTTATAATTCATGGTGACCATCTGCGCAGTCTCAGGTATACAGAGACAATCATAAACTCCAACCTAGAAAATCTTGTCCCCCACAGTATACAACAGCAGTAGCTTTTTATTAGAATCATCTGGATTGGCAGTAAACGCCAAGGATTTTTTTGGTTAAAAATGATCATGTATGTTTAAAAAGTATTAAATTAAGATCGTTCAGAAAGACTCTCTCTCTCAGATAAAATTATAACAGGGAAGAAATATTGAACAGTGGAGGGGAGGGGAAGATGGGGATGGGAGAGGGGAACCCAGTGTTGTCTATGGGGTAGGCCAGAGGATTGGAAAGGTAGGAAACTCCAATTTTATTTCCAGTCTTACACTATCCTTAGCCAGTACAGGAATGTATATCCTAAAGTTCATGGGAAAAGCAGTTGGTTGTACAGATGTTCCTGGTTGCTCTTTCCCTCCCCTCAAATTCCTTCTTGTCCTAGAAAGTTGCAGGAAATGACATCCAAGCCTCTAACAGCTTCTGTGAGTTTGGGCAAATGACTTCCTCATTATTAAATCTTAGCTTTGTCATTATTGAAATGTGTTGAGGCTTATCTTGAAAAACCCCGGTTGTTATGATTCTGAGATATTTAGAAAAAATAAAAAGGACTATGCAACTAAGGTGCAAATGCCAAAAATTTTAAAAACAAAATCTGATTACACCTACAGAGAAACAACCTCCTTCTCACTCCCACACATTTGATTTTAATTAAAAGCACATTTCTGCAGCAGCCTGTCTGAACTGATGTATCTTGCAGCATGTTCCCAGGGTCAATAGATTTGGAATATCTCAGGTTCAGGTAGAAGCCTGTTTCAGACTCGAGGACCCCTCCCAGAAAGAATGCTGAGCTGATAGTTGGTAGCCTCTATTTACCCATGGTGCCTCACAAAGGTGTTGTAAGGTCTACATTTATTTATGTATCTAAATCCTTTTGAGAGGTTTGGGTGAAAAGCACTATTTAAAATAAGTGAATTGCTAGGCATGTTCAGATTTTCAAGCAGCTTGGAACTGAATATGCCATCTTCCCTGGGGGGTACCACTCAGTCTCCTTTGAGATGTCCACAGCACTCTATATTTTTCAGATTTCTATACACCCCTCCAAAATTGCATATATCATTTGGAAACCTACAGATGCCAGTCAGTCTAAAGCACTGCTGTTAAGTAAGATGAGGCTCTTTTTCTTAAAAGCTAATATGCTGCCTTAACAGCACTCTCAGCCACAAGAAAACAACTTACTTTTCTTCAGTGGGAAATCCATATAGAAAATATCAAAGCTGGCAAACTTCTCAGATCTTGCTATTTCTTTCAGGACATTGGAAAGTTGTAAAGCTCTCTGAAAAGTCAAGGAAATAAAAAGATTGCTATTGCCACTGATGTCGCTTTACTTGGGTTCAGCTTTTGTAACTGGAAAGAGAAAACCCATTTAAAAAATCTAATGATTGCTATTTAATAGACATAATTATCTACAGTATGAAACTGGGCAAAAATTGGGTCATTCATTATACAGGATATTTGTAATGATACATGCAGAAGGCAGTGCAGGGTGGCTGACTTCAGACCATCAAAGTTAACTACCTTTCTGTACTATCTATCACACTTTTAGGATGCTGCCCTGAATATGTTGCAGTGTTTACCCAGGGATTACAAAAGGGCCTAATCAGTTATCATCATTTTCAGTTGTTTAGTAAGGTATGGGTTTTATTATTTTTTAAATCAAAGTTCTTTTAGTACTATTTCTCTTCCACTTTCATCATTCAAAATGCCTCACTTTGCAGGCTCCTTTGATGGATAGGAGCCTAGTCATCTTCATTCCTCATACAGTTTGAAATGAGACTTTTTCCAGAGGTAAAGCTCTCTTTTTCCTTAAACCTGGTCCATTCTGGTACTGGGCATGCTAGTACTTACATATCCAGTGACAGATTCTCATCTCAGCTGTATAAACTCAGAGTAACTCCATTGACTTTAATGGGCTCCAGCTAATTTGTGTGCCCAGTGTGATTTTCACTGGTGATCATGGAGATCAGAATCTCCTTAATACTTAATGTGCACAGTTTAAATGAGAACATATACAATTACTTTCAGATAAGAGCTTAGAAAGCTGAATAGTTTCCGCAGACATGTGAATTGTTCAAGAATTTATATATACAGAAGACTCTTTATTGTATTTTATAAATATATAGATTGAAATCCTGAAAAGATTTATGCATGTGTTTGATAACATGCATTGTAGTGAATGGGACTACTCACAAGACAAGGCGTGAGTAAATCTTTGAAAAATGTGGGGCATTTTTTTTGTCTACTGAATAGAAACATTAACAAAAATACTGTATACCCCCAGCTGCTATTTTGTACAATATTTGGATGACTTGTTCTATTATGTAGCTTCAGGGGAGAGAAATAAAGTATATTTTTATATTCGGAGAAAATGGCTAAAATCATGTGTTGCTCAGATGGTTCATCTACCATGCGTAGAATGACATTTTTAGGGTGGTTTTTAAAACCAGCCTTCACTGGCATTACTTTGTAGTCATACCATTCCATATACCTGAGGCCAAATCCAATTTTTAGGCACATTTTGCTTGCGCAATTTGGAACTGAGTTAAGAGGAGTTTCTCTGAATAATGCTAGATCAGTTTTCTAGTAAAAACCAAATTGGGCCCTTATGATGGTACCCTTATAATCTAGTCCTCCTTTTTCAGATTTACATGCTTCAGAGAAAACTGCTGAAATCATCTCAAACAATCCTTTTAAAAGGCGATGATGAAAAATAATTTCAAATGCTTCAGACATACCTCTGATGTGAAGTTCCTGAGGGTTTCATTTGAAGACATCCAGCCAATGCAGGGACTGACCTGTGTGATCACAAAAATACTGTTTTAGTGAAAGAAAGGAAGAAGGAAAGAAAAAAGGCTATCTGATCAACTGAAAAGGGACAACTTACTCGAAGACAACTTAGGAATGAATAAAGTTGTTTATATGTGACATCTTTATTTAGCTGACCTGAAAAAGACAGAGAGTTTAACTTTGCATGGTTTAAGTCTAATGTTCTTCAAAATTTACTTTCCGGTTACTTTCTATTCCCACCTACCAGATGCCAAAGAAGAATCAGTTAACTATTTCATCCTGTTTGAGCCTCTGAAAAACTGCTAATACAAAAGCTGGGTGGATCTTCCTCCTCCGCACCCCTGCTTTTATATGACCTAGTCTTAAGGCTACAGTGACAACATGCTTTAAAAGTAGACACATGCATGGTTTTTCAGGGATTCAAATGGCGTAGAAAACAATCACATTTAGGCCCCTCCTACACGTTACACATATTATGCAATTAAAGGTCAATTGTGCAATAAATTTAGACCAGCTACACATGCAAAGTAATTATCCCATGATAAAAATGACTATCCAGCTATAAAAAGAGCTAATTTTAGTTATAAAATTAGTACCTGAAAACATGAAACAACTCCATAACTGGTTTCTATCCAGCTTTAATTTGAACATGTAGCAAGGCCCTTAGGTACCTAGGTCGACTTAAGTGCTCTATAGTTTGAATAGGACCTGGCCCTAAATCTTTATCCTTGGAGATAAAGGATACTGAAAGTATGTAGTTCATCAGCTCCTGGTAACTTCAGTCCTGTTAAGTAGTCTCATTCACTAGGACTGGTCATGAGTAAGGTGAGCAGAGGCTGATTTTCTACATTCAGGAATCAAGAAGCTCCCACAAAAGTCAGTGAGAGTTATTCGTATGTGCAAGACTCAGATTTGCTCCCAGTGTGCTAATGGTAGTACCAGCATGAATTTTCCACAGGAACCTTTCTTTTTATTCCCCCCCCCCCCCTTT